ACTGAAATTCGTAGAATAAGATCAATCGGCACCGTTGGAACTCTCGACTGTAGATACCTTGTAACAAGTCTGTGGTGTTTCTCTAATTATTCTAATTTGTTTGTTGCATTTTAATAAATGATATTGGATCAAAGGTAGACTTGTGTGTGCGGTGCGTTCTCCGTGACCACTTGCACTATTACTGGGGTGTCAGGTAACAACATCCGTGCACACCTCTCGGTCCGCACGGCAGCCTGCTAGCGGCCCATCAATCTGCCCGTGATTGCTAAACAGGTAGCTCGAGCTAGGCAGCATACCTTCCTTATCGACAAATCAATGTCCTCAGGCTCAGCTGCATCATCAATTTTGTAAAAGATGAATCTATGACGTCACGATAAATACCGTGAATTCACAGAAGTGCAACTTGACCTGCATGTTACATGGTAACCTTTCCATTAGCAGGTTGGTCGATTAGATCGGTTAGGATCTGATTAATGAAGCACAACGAATCTTAGATAAGGTAGCACGATAAGAGAAACAGTACGATTTCCTAATACCAATAAACAACGCACATTTACAAAATATTCCTCAAGACCTGGGATCATCGTTTTGTCAGTAATTATTATTGTCATCATATCTCTCAATTACTTATCTCTTCCTGGTAGTCATTGAGAAGGTGGTAAGTGAGGAAGATAAACCATGGCCACAAATAATATATCTCCATCTATAGCATTTAAGGTAAGTATGTTATGACCACAGCTAGAAGATCACAGGCATGCAACACTATTTCACCAACTAGTCATCTCGACAGTATTGATAATGAGCGTTGTTAAAAACGTCGTTTTTAAAAGTACATCAATTATTAACGGTATGAAGAGATAGGTTTGTTAGTTTGAGGAGAGGGTTCTCCATGAGTATGACCGGTCACCGTCGTGTGTGGCCAAGAGTCAAATTCGGCACGTGTAACACCTCGGATTGACAGCCACGCATTTCTACTAAGGAAAAAACACAAACAACCGAGTGTTCGCGGCGGAACATAAGCCACAAAACGTCCTCTTTGTCCTAGTTTTGTAATTGCAAAACGGAGCTGCGGAGTGATTTGATCTGCTGATAGCGAGAGTTCAATACTTGTTGTGTTGTAAGTCTGCAGTAGGTTGTGGCGTCTTAAAATTCACGCCATATTGCAAGCTGGTCGCAGATTAATGTTCTTTTCTTTAATGCAAAGCTTTGACGTCATTTAAAGAATGACGTTGTGAATGAAAAGTGTGTCTGTCCATTAACCAATTTTTTTTAAAAAAAAAACTGAACCAATGATAAGTGTAATGATAAGAATACAATAATAGATAATACATAATTGCATATTTACTGTATTATCATTTTAATATTCAAAAATCAAAAACTTTAACACAAACCTTCTCTTTGTGTAAACGCTATTCTCCTTATGACAGAGTATAAGGATGCTTTGCTAACTAATTACTCGAACAATTGGAAAAGTCAAATTGCAACACGATAGATCCATCACTTAGCTTCATCCTGCCCTTCCTTCGGTAGTTTTTTTCATTCTGTTTCAAAGACTCAACGCTGACAGTGAAATTGATCAGGTGTTACTCCACCGTTATCACTTGGAGTGAAATGCCATTGTTTCCTAATTGTGTCTGCCATATTTACAAAAGTCGATCACGTTTTGAACGATATATCACTCTACCTCTAATTACAACTGTTAAAGAATTTGTGTGTTTAGGACAGCAAAGTTTCTGTCATTTTTAAAAAGGTCAGTAACACTGATAAAACAATATGTAACCATCTTTGTTACATGTCATATATATGATTTTTGGTTTGTCATTGCCAAACATTCTGGCACTTGGCAAAGCTGTTCACCTGCATGGTTCTGTACTCTTCATTGACCCCAGACCGTGCTGAAATACGTACGTGAAAATGCAGGTGTCCTTGCCAATCTTTGCCAAATCTTGTCTTTCCACAGGTTATTTTATCTAAGAAGGTTTTTCACATTTCTGATATATCTCCCTATATTGCTTATCTTTCATAATTACCATTTAAGAATCTTTCAGCATGTTTAAGAAACCCAAGTCAACGTTGTCATAACGTTGCCGAAATATTTGTCGAGCCAGTGGGTCCGTTTAATACAGTGACGTTATCGTTGGTCACGGCAGATTCGGGCCGGATAAGTAGACAATGTGGTCGGGCCAATGTTTCAATTCTTGAGACAATGGCACAGTGCCACTTGGGTACTCGGTGGAACGCTCTGTTGTTTGGTACATTGTTATCTGTTCTGTTCGTGCGTACTGGTGTTGTGATGGTCTACAACACTGACAGATAAGAACCTCAAATATAATTGAATAATAGGTTCATGTTTTCATCAAAATTTTCATGAAATATACATTACCGGGTCTTCCATATCCATTCCCCTTAGCGATTTCATGTAATTAAAATTAGTTTTCTTGACTATAATTCAACCCGGCTGTTGGGGATCATACCACCATTATCTATGAGCGGCATCTCCACGTTTGGGGGTTAAAATGCAAACTAGCACTAAACGCGAGGCGGTCCATGGGTCATCAAAGTACGCGGCGTTTGAGAAAAATCAATTAAACCAAAGAACTTAAGTCACTCTAAGTCACATTTCCATCAAAACCAAATTTTATGCTTAAGGATATTTGATGGTTTAAATGTAAATGAAATGCAAATTTGAAACGACTTTGAAAATATGTTTTCAAGTGAACATATATATTTTATTTGCTATAATTTCAAAATAAACTACATTTCTAAGTATAATGATTGAAAATGTCTTTTAAAGAAAAAAGTATATATACAATTTTATGTCAATTATGTTGAAATATTTCATTAGACACATTAGAGTTCCGTATTTGAATAAGTTTTATTTCTTTAAATAAAAAGGTTATTTATTCAAACCTAGAGAAAATGCATTAAGAACATATTTTAACTATGTATGAAATAGGTGTTTATAGATATATAATCTTATAGATCAACGTTAAGTATACCTAAATATACCACGACAACTGAAGCGACACGACAAAAGGTTGTCACGTGGGCCAGCGCATCCCGGATAGGACATCAGCAGATATCCCTTACTTGTCGAATGTTAAACTGCCAGAATGTTGTTTCCTATTCATGATATTTGGATTAATTTAAATCACTTAAAATATTTGTTTCCTCAATTAAGTAGATCAATGTATAGATTGTGATGTTACATGTGAGTCAGGTTTAAAAATTTAAATGCGTTTACAACAATCTTGTTACAATATGTAAATTTTAATAAGAAAACAAATTTATGTACTTACTACGCATGACATAACACGTGATTCTAACTTTTTAGTATTTAAAATTCTTCAAAAAACCTTTTTAAACTTTTTTTTATAAATTTGTGTATGTTACACACGGATTAAAGACCTTTACAACGCTGTTATCCTAGGATTAGTATATGTATGTGCATGAGACACGTTTTCCCACAGGGAATCAGTTACTGGAAATAAGCGGCCCTTAGGTTTATAAAATTTTCTTCCAAATACATTCTTATAGAAAAGAATACCAAATTTAAAATCCATATTTACCAGTCTACAGATGTTTTAATGACAGAATGTAATATTTAGAATAAGCACACTTTGAATCTCATTTTGCATTTATTCGTGCTTGGAACTCATGTTAAGTTATATTTTGATATGTCGCTGTTTCAATAGGTGTAAATAGTGTTCCATGAAAACACAAGTACGTGCAATGGTACGTACACATTCAATGAGCAGTGACTGATTCTCGGGTCAACAATCAAGGACTGTAAAATACACTTAAAGCTGCCGACATTACACTAACACGTATACCCTAGTTGGCTACTCAAACATCAAAGTACTGACTGATAACGGTAATCATATCCATTTAACTAACAAAATCAGTCGTTTTGATAGGAATAATTCCAACTGTAAATCCATCCTACAAGTTAATATACGATTTAAAATATATCTACTCTGGGATGTATTGTGACCGTAAGCCTTTTAATTTAGTGTTAAAAACAAGTCGTGGCTATGGAAATGAGCGTCACTAATGTAATGTATTTAATGTGAGAGAAAAAATGCATATCTAAAACTTTTATAGCAATCTTTTGAGGGAAATGTTACACAACGATACAAGGGGAGGCTACTCGTACACATAAAATATGATAAAAATAATGACACAAACAATGTTTCTAGATTTTTGATGGAGGGTGTATGTAACACTGTTTAACTTCAGTTCACTCAGTGGAAACCTGCTAACCTATGTAACACATTATAACAGGGACATTACCTCGAGTAACGACCAGATTAACGTTTCACTGCCTCTGATTGATGAGGCGACGTCAGCTGATGACCCTGTCTGTACGACCAGGAGTCACGGCTCGCTATCACACAAATACGCCCATTACAGCACCACAAACAGGCAGATAAGTAAAATTAATGTCAAATTTGTTGATTTGTAATATCTACCCTTTCCACATTTCCGACATAATTATTCAAAATTTCTTATTTTACAACAGTTACAAAGTGCATCAAACAATGGAACCCAAGTCACTATTCTCTCAATCTCATCATTGTTTATTTGAATTTAAATGGAAATGGACTTCAAGTTTATTTTTATATGGATTCTTAAAGAAACCGGAACAAGAATAAAAGAAAGAAAGAAAGGAAAGAAAGAAAGAACTAGAAACAAGTACATGAGTCAAGATAATATATTCATTTGTCAAAATATTAATAAATACTTGGATAAATTTATATATGAATAAATAAATAAATGTTTTCGGGTATATGTTAGAGATAACCTACAAATGTGGTATGTATTACCCCAGTAAACAACAGACATCAAAACGGTTATATACTTAATTAAGAGAATCGTCCAGACAGTGGGACGGGTGACTACAACAACTATACTGAGTGGTCCAGACAGTGGGACGGTAACTACTACAGTTGTATTGAATGGTCCAGACAGTGGGACGGTCACTTCCGGTATTGTATTGAATGGTCCAGACAGTGAGACGGGTGACTACAACAACTATACTGAGTGGTCCAGACAGTGGGACGGTGACTACTACAGTTGTATTAAATGGTCCAGACAGTGGGACGGTGACTACTACAGTTCTATTAAATGGTCCAGACAGTGGGACGGTGACTACTACAGTTGTATTAAATGGTCCAGACAGTGGGACGGTGACTACTACTGTGCGGAGTGGTTCAGAAAGTATAATGGTGATTACCACTGTACTGAGTGGTCAAAACTGTAAGATGGTAACCTCCACTGCTGTACTGGTCCAGAAAGTGGGATGGTGAAGACTATTGTACAGGATGATCTAGACAGTGGAATTGTGACTACAACTGCACTGACTGGTCCAGATAGTGGAACTGTGATTACAACTGCATTGAGTGGTCCAGACAGTGTGATTATTTACAACTGCATTGAGTGGTCCAGACAGTGTGATTATTTACAACTGCACTTAGTGGTCCAGACAGTGGAAATGTGACTACAAATGCACTGAATGGTCCAGACAGTGGGACGGTGACTTCTACAGTTGTATTAAATGGTCCAGACAGTGGGACGGTGACTTCTACAGTTGTATTAAATGGTGCAGACAGTTGGAAGGTGACTACTACAGTTATATTGAATGGTCAAGACAGTGGGACGGTGACTACAACAACTATACTGAGTGGTCCAGACAGTGGGACGGTGACTGCTACAGTTATGTTGAATGGTCCAAACAGTGGGACGGTGACTACTACAGTTCTATTAAATGGTCCAGACAGTGGGACGGTGACTACTACAGTTGTATTAAATGGTCCAGACAGTGGGACGGTGACTACTACAGTTATGTTGAATGGTCCAATCAGTGGGACGGTGACTACTACAGTTGTATTAAATGGTCCAGACAGTGGGACGGTGACTACTACAGTTGTATTAAATGGTCCAGACAGTGGGACGATGACTACTACAGTTGTATTAAATGGTCCAGACAGTGGGACGGTGACTACTACAGTTGTATTAAATGGTCCAGACAGTGGGACGGTGACTACTACTGTGCGGAGTGGTTCAGAAAGTATAATGGTGATTACCACTGTACTGAGTGGTCAAAACTGTAGGATGGTAACCTCCACTGCTGTACTGGTCCAGAAAGTGGGATGATGAAGACTATTGTACAGGATGATGTAGACAGTGGAATTGTGACTACAACTGCACTGACTGGTCCAGATAGTGGAACTGTAATTACAACTGCACTTAGTGGTCCAGACAGTTACATTGTGACTACAACTGCACTGAGTGGTCCAGACAGTTACATTGGGACTACAACTGCACTTAGTGGTCCAGACAGTGGAAATGTGACTACAAATGCACTGAATGGTCCAGACAGTGGGACGGGTGACTTCTACAGTTGTATTAAATGGTCCAGACAGTTGGAAGGTGACTAATACACTTATATTGAATGGTCCAGACAGTGGGACGGTGACTACAGTGGGGCGGTGACTTCTACAGTTGTATCAAATGGTCCAGGCAGTGGGACGGTGACTTGTATTAAATGGTCCAGACAGTGGGACGATGACTTCTACAGTTGTATTAAATTGTCCAGACAGTGGGACGATGATTTCCGGTATTGTATTGAATGGTTCAGACAGCGAAACGAAACGGTGTCCTCAACTTGTTTTGATCAAAGAAAGGAATTCAAGATGTAGCCGTATTACCGAATCTTTACAGACGAAACGATAAACATTTATATAGTATATCGAAATGTACATAACATAAACCTGCATTATCATAAACAAAATAACACGAATCAAAATTGTGCAAAGGAAGGGCAAACGAAATGGTCGGAACTAAGCTCAAAGAATAAGAGTGATGAAATATGTGATGTAATAACAAGTATATTAAACCAACCAATAGTAAACAACAATAAACAATTTCAAAACAGAAGGACAATGTGTCATTTACGTCCTTTAACTAAAAAATATGAGTGATAGTGATAGTGTTATGCGTTAAATCAGGGCGTAATGATGATGATGATGAGGAGGAGGAGGAGGAGGGAGGGAGGGAGGATGAAGAGGAGGATAGAACAAAAATTTAAGCGTTACATGTACAAGGAAAGATTTTCATCTTAGGCAAGACCATCGCCCAGTAAAGTAGGGTTGGATGATATCAGACGAGTGAACAGTCATTCCGGGTGTATCAACCCAGTCTACATCGTCTGGAATGATGGAGCAGCACCTCATGCTTCACTTGATATATTGTTAGAGGAAGTAGTGGCAAATAAAACAGTTACAGACGCATCACCATAAACCAAGCTAAATCTGCGCCGGTATCACCAAACGTTGATAGCGCAATGCATTTGAGAGATAAAGCTGACTTTTATTCAAAATTTACGAGAATCGTGCCGTATCTTTGAGTGAGTTTAGGACAATTTAGATGATGGTTAATTACATAAATAACTTAACTTGCACTTTACTAATTTCTCTCGGTATTCATGCCGTTGAACATCACTGACACTCCCGGTCGTTCCTATATGCCGGGCATCCTTTAACCGGGCTAAATGTGCGAATATCAATATCATCAATATTAAGTGGCCCAAACAGGCAACGAAACAATAAAGGTTCGGCTAAAAGCTGAGAACTCTTTTAAAATCATCCCAAATAATTACCGTAATCATAATTGTGAAACAAGCTTTCCAAAATTCAACTAAATAGATATAGTGTAAATGTGATAAAGCATTTGTTTGGCAGGCATTATGCTATGCTTTACATAGGTTTCTCTGTTATACATAGGTTCTTCGCTTAAAAAAATGACTTCCGGTCAAACAGTGAAATATGATGAGTTTAACGATATCGTTAGAAACGATATATCTACCCGTGTTTCTTTTACTGATTTTTGATTGCTGTATATGTTATTTCAATCTCTTCTGCGTTTGAGTTTATCGCGTGAACCTGATTTCACTAATTCTATATTTTTTTTTTTTTTTCTTATGGCCTATTTTCTGTGACGGCGTAGTTGGCGTCGTGATTCAGTTTTTAGTGCCTACAATTGCTAACGTTTTTCCATGGCTAGTGTAATTCTTTGGAAGTCTGAGGTACAATTCAACAAAAATTCTGCATGCAATATCACCACAACCTTTATCATCTAAAGGATTAATTCTAATCCACTTTTGTAACAGTAACATCAACAAATCAATTTGGATATAGTTTTAATAAACAGTTTTATTTCACGTTATATATAGACATAATCACTTAATCCTTATTTAGACGGTTTTATGTGTTGTTGTAAAGTTTTGTAATCAGCTCGCTTTAAAAAATAGTAAATACCCGCAAGTCCATCGTTCAATCGACTGATTATATGCAACACATCAATTAGAAAATCGTTCCCTAAATTATGTACATAAAATTCCTATATTCATAAAAAGAGTTTTGGTTTTGCTACGTGGTATGAATAAAACGTCCATCCCCATGTATTTAGAAAAATCATGAAGCATTGAGATATCAACCGATTTTAAATTTCACGACAATCAATATCACCAGAGTCATATATCGCTTTTGATTAGATATAAATTGTGAAGTCGACGTTCATTAAACAATGTTAAACCACTAGAGGAACAAAGCACGGGGAATCAAGACGTTTATCAGGATAATTAAAACTGTTTACATACAAAACACGCACAAAAGCAAAGATTTCTAATCTAAAACAAGATAAATATATTTCATCGATATCTTGTTACGTAGATTGTATGATAGACTTTCATTAGCTGATCGTGTGTACTGTCTTGTTGAACATCACACACAAATCAGTAATGATTATGACATGGCGTCCTCAGGCGGACAAATTTGTCAGCATTTATTCCGGTATATCAAAGGGAGGTAACTCTAAATGAAGATAATAAAATATATCGTTGTATCTCCCACTAAATGAGCTTGTTATATACCATATTCTTTCATTTTCCAACATGTGTAGTAATTAGAGTTTATTTCTAAATAATCTTCTAGGAATCTTTGTAATCAATAAGTCATGATTAGTGGTTTATTTTACGCAGAAACTTCAGTTCATCAGTTATTCACAAGTGCATCATAAAACATTCAATGAACATTAAGCCGATTGGCTACATTACGTTGTGACGTCATAGTGTATATATGTGTATATATATATATATCAGTCTCAGTGACTAACGTTCAAGGCGGTGTACCATATTTAATTGATGGCATAGCAAAAAGCTTTGATTTCTCCTCAGCAAACCATTATTAATCATTAAATAACTATCCGAGAGTGTCCCCGCCCCCGGGCTTTTGTCGTCGATCATGACGTGTAACTCCTAGCGATCAGATCTTAATGTAGAACCATCAATAAGGCATTAAAAGTACTTTTTGTTTTACATCTTTTCAAATGAATTATTCAAACATTTGATGGCATCGCACAATCTGTTCAGCCATTTCTACCCATGTACATGTACCCCGTGACATCGTATGCTCGCGCGTACTCCCGGCAAGGGCTCGAGCCCAGGGATATGAACCAGGAATTCACTAAGGAATTGTCGCGCTTTCTCCTTGTTATTAAGAGTATGACGTTGGTACTTATCCAAAACAACAGCCTAAATTCATAATTGATTAAAAAATCCTTATCATGAAAATAGTGTTATCTGAAGCTGGTGTATCCGTGTCATCATCTTCCCAAACCGGTTCCTCTCACATCCACATACGTCCTTTGTATCAAGAAGATAATACTTAACGATCTCTTCCCTTGTTTTTTTTCCTATTTATTACCTTTATCATTATCAATCTGTACATTCTTCAAGAGAAACGTTTGTTACCAGAATCCAGAATCTACCTCTTAATAAGATTTTAAATTCGCAAATCGTTTCATCCCACACAAGATCCTATTACGAAACGAAAATGCTCTTAGTCTTTTTCTCAAATATTGCCACTGGCCTGCGATAAGAGATCGTTATGGTGAACGGATATTCCCCATGTAAAATATTTAACTGTAGTGATGGAATTTATCTTATCCTATGCTGTAGTATCTATGGAGACATCGCCTCTAAAGTTAACCGTTTCATTTTTCTCTGGTTTTATAGGAGAGTATTGCTTATCATACTGGTCGCCATTTGCGGGCCGCATTATGACGGTCGTTATCAAGCAGTATGCTCACTTTGATGTTTCAGCGGCATATAACATCGGACATGTAAATTCTTCACTAATTAAATTCAGGTCCACCCCTCTTAAGTGTACATCACTCGTTACCGTAATAAATGTGATAATTTCTAATTGAGTTAATGTAATGGTGGCCTATGGGAATATAACTTTATTTGTTTTATTCTTTGTGCAGTAGCGATACGGACGAATTACCACACGGGGGATTTCTATCACGTCCACTCGTCGTCGTTTGTGACTCACGTCACAATGCTGATGCAGAATACTATTTTTTATTGTTTTAAACAAATATGGACTTAGGTGTATTAGCGATCACGATAGTGTCGGGGCCATAAAGGGTCCCTATCATAACCCATACAACACCGGATTCATTTTTTTTATTCCGGATTTTATCATGCATATTAGGATTTCAAGAGAAAAAATGACACAACATTATCTCACCGTCGATTTTATCCCGCTGATCGTCTTCATTTTCATCGAGTCTGTCCTTGCTATCACTCATCAGCCGTTCATTAGAGTACACAGCTTGTTCCATAGGTCTTGATGTCTTTTGACACGGTACATGCCGATTTCCTGCTATGAGTTTTAACACCAATTTTATTTCTCTGGATGGTAACGATAACTTAAGTTCTACTTCAGTAACGTAGTTCAACACTGTAGCGTGTTGTCATAGCAATTAATCTTGTCTCTAAACAGATTACAAATTAACATACATATATGAAAAACGGAAAAGAAGTGACAAAAATTGATTAAACTCTACCATTTTGATCACTTTTATCTTTTGTCGAAATGCAAAGTTTCATTTTATTTTAAAAATCTGTGCTAAATGTTAAAAAATAAATTAATTGCCGGTCAAGTCTAAATCACTAGTTATTTCAAAACTACCAGTCCAAGAGATGAGATTTATGGAATCAAACCTACTAATCGTAGAGTATTCACAACTAGTTTGTTATGATTGAATCCAGCATAGTGATAGCATGACGTCACCTGCCTCGTTTTCATTCC